ACAGGGAACATCCCCTTAAGATTTCAGCTTTCTAGCATCTCAGATCCCCGAGTTATAAACTTACCCATAAAAGACTTTGGCGGGCTCGTTCGTGGGTATCGCGCAGGTAAGGGCGCCCATTTTGGGAATTGGGGCTCGTACTTGTCCGAGGACTAGGTTTGAGCTTATTAATTAATACTTACTTGAACCTTAAAATTTCAGCTTTCTAGCTTTTCTGGTTCGCGTGTTATCAACTTACTCGAAAAAAATTTTGGCGGGCTCTTACGTGGGTACTGCGTGGGTAAGACCGCCCATTTCGGCGACGGGGACCCGTATGTTCATGTAGATTATGTCTCCAAAGTTTCAGCCCTGTAGCTTTTGTCGGTCTCGAGATGAAAAACCGGTACAGACGAACACACACACACACACACAGACAACCCCTCGACAATATGCGTGTTCTGCATTACATAGCTGCAAAAAACGCATAAAAATAATGTAGAGTTGTATTATATAATGTGTAGTATCCATAATATTTCAATTCAGTAAGACATAACTTACCCTGGCGATTAGTAGAGGATTGGAATTTCAGGCTGGTCATATATTTTCTCGTTTCACTGGTGCGCGGTCTCCGAAAGGCAAACAGTGATCTTCAGCAACAGCTCATTCACGTAAGAATTTTATGCGCTTTTGCTAGTGCAGCGCAGATACTCATTAAGTTTTGACCGTGTATGAATCTACAACACATTAGAGACGCAAAATAGCTGAAGTATTTGCGTACGGGAATTTCAGTTACACCGGAAAATGATCCAATTTGCCAACAATAGTTAGCAGTGCTCATTCAGGGTCTTTTTTGTAAGGGTTACTTAAGAAATAAAGTAAAAGTAGTAAGAGTGCGCTAGTACGTGGCGAATGCTGATAGCAGTGTAAAACAACGCACCGTACGCGTTTTGGTGTTTTCACGAACTGATCTGAGTGAGCGATTGAGTTTAAAATTACATGCCATGTATGGTAGTCTAGTGGTTTGTTCTAACACATTTTGCATTTGTATTTTCCATTTAAAAGAGTTTTTTATTCACATTCGACCTCCTCAACTTGCATTTGCATAAGCATGTTCTGGGCTGGCTGTAGTTCCCGTCAGATTAATCTTGTGCCCAAAGACGTATTGTTCTCTTAAAGCGGAGCAAAAAAGCTCAACGAGGCGATTTCACTTTTCTCCAGCACTAACGCTGCAACTGCTTCTTCGAAGAAACTGAGTGGGAAGTAAAGTTCATGGCAATTGGTTCTGTGCTGTTAGCCAAGCAGTCTCAAATTGTGTCTTTAACAAATCAGCAAATGTGATGTGAAAATGTTTACAGGAGAGAACAGAGGAAAAGAAGAAAATTTTTGAACTAGCTGGCGGAGCCGCGAAGAAGAAGAATTCAGAAACAGGCCGTGAAAAGAAGAAACAAGTGGTCACCTACTTGCCACTGGTTGAGCAAAAGCGGCGCGAAACATGGAGAGCGTATAATGGGGTTCATCCTTTCGACTGTTTTTCTTTAAAACTGTGGGGTTGGGGAGCTAATTTCAGATTTGAGGCGATGCACTGATGGCCGTCGATATTTCGGTTAAGAAAATGAACATTTTTGCGCTGCATTACTTAAATCTGTCTTCTTCACGAGTAGGAGATGTACAGTGAAAGCGTAGTGGTTTCAAAACTTTGGCATTTTGGGAAAATCTCATGTTGGTTGAAATCCCGTGACCTTCACCAGAAAAAAACTTTAGTACTGTAAAAAAAGAGCCTTCTAGAAATTATCTCATGCCGGCAAAAATGAAATCTGACACCTCCGCTTGAATTTGGGAATAGCGGTTGAATGACAAATCTGCAACTGTGTGTGGGACTGAAAAAGCTCTGATTTAAATTACATGCAAGGCTTAAACATTTTTCCATCGTTTCACTGTGCAGTCACACTGAGCAGTTTTGCCTTATAATTTCTCCGAGCTAAATCATGACACTTCTTTGGCGCTTTCCTGTACTAATTTTGCATTCAACGATTAACTCAAGAGATTTCGCCTCTATGTACTCATGGGTGCTGGGTGTATGAGCAGGGATGATGATGAGCAGTTGAGGGAATGTGAAACGCAAAATTTTTAGGTTTAGTGTATGTAGGTAGCTGTGTAGGATCAATCTGTGCTTTAAACCGGAAGTGTATGCTAAAACCGGTATAGCCCGAGATTGCATATTGGGTATACGTGTCCTTACAGCGCGAGGGTGACTCGTCACTGTGCGTCACGGACGAGACGAGCACTGTGACGACGCCTGTTTCCGACAGGTCACCATCGCTAAAGAAAAAACATTCGCAGCAACCGATGATGATACAATTGGCCCGGAACGAGCTCTCACCTTATCAGCAACAAACTATGTAAGTTTCTTTTTTGCCGTAACCGAGCTGTAATATCCGCTATTGCTTGCATTTTTTGAGATAGGACCTTTCCACTTTCAGGAAAAATGCCCTTTTTTTTGAAAGACGAAGACACTTCGGAGTGAACTGAAGCGCATTGCTAGAGCTGTTTTACGCTAGTAGTCTTTCGATGATCTTTTCTTCCGAGAACTGTTTAAGCAAAAGCTGAGATTGCTTTGCTTTCTGACGTTTTTCGAAGCAGCAGCTCCGGGCTGGAAATAAGCAACGTATGATATCGGAGTAAATCAGCTGTTTGCTCTGACACATGGCTTTTACAGTTCATTAGCTCAGGTTTGCTGTTCAGTGCAAATGAGCAGTGTACGTACTAGGCGACGCAAGTTTTAAGTGTTGCTTGCAGGCGAACCAAATAAAAGTTGCAAAAATTTTACAGACGAAAGGGCTCGGATGCACAGAGTTGGTCTGAGACGGAAAGACCGAAAATATCCTGCCTGACATCAACAAGCAATGTGACAGATCGTGCAGACGACTGGTTCAATGAAGATTCACCAAGCGAAACACATTCCTATGAAGTGGAAGGTAGTGTGGTGCAGGAGGCGACTCCGGAGGAAGTTCGGTAAGCACCTCGCCCTCCATAGAAAGTGCATATGGAATAATAATAATAGTATATGAATCTAAATAAATAGCAACACGTACCAGACTAGCCGGTGCGATCATGCGTTTTGTGCAGTTCAGCCCATCGAGCGATTGCCTATTAATGATTTTCACTGCTTTGTACTTTTGTCTATGCAAAAATAGTTCAAACATTAG